TTAAAATGGCTAACAGACACTAAGACCCTTACTGTTAAAACCAAATATTTCTGCATCGGGGAGACAACTTTATTTTTTTTTAAATATAACAGGAAGAACGTGCATGATCTGCATAGTGATTGGAGTGCTTGGCAGATATATTTGCATAATAGAACTCTGGATACTGAATTTAGAAAACACATTTCCAGGCAATAAGTAAAATCCCTCTGAAGACAGAACATACTATTAAGGAAACACTGCAGCTATGCTAAAGTCACTCAGTCCCCTAAATTACCCGTATCTGATTTTTACATATTCCAGTACAGCCAGATTTCAAGAAGGAACTAAATATGTTTCTTGGCGAGTCTGTTTTATTAGGTCACATGAGCCTATGATGGGCAATTTCCTCTCTCTCTCTAATAGCTATAGCAAGGAATCTGTAGCCGTTACTGTATGACTGAACATGCCACAATAGTTTCTTTTCACGAGGAATATAAGAAAGTGCTTTGATTACATAGAAACAAAAAAACAAAGCCACACTATTTTTCAGCACAGATCTCCCCCCAAACAAAAGCCCATTAAGATTCCAGTTACTTTGTTTTTGATGTTTTATAGCGGTCTTCTTTCTTTGGAATCTTCTCTTTTAAAGAATCAGTGGCAGATTTGTGAGTCAGTTTTGATTTAGAACCAGCTGGATCAGAACCTGCCTGAATTTTGCCATTTTTTACTAGACCAGTTGCTGGTTGACTTTTTGCTGATGATTTTGTATGTGGTGCAGTTACTGCTTTGGAATCAGATTGTGGGAGCTTAACTACAGACAGCGGAGTGCGACCAGAAATGGTGGTCTTATCAGTTGCAGCCTTAACTGTGCCGTTTCTCTGAGGCTGGAATGGTTTAGTAGTGTCTCTACCTATGGGTTTCGACTGGGAAACAGCTGTAACTAGTGATTTAGCCACTGGTTGAGAGGGGTAGGAAAAAAGGGGCATGTTGGAAGGCACACGGGAAGACACCACAAATGGCTTCCTGTCTATCAAATTGTTTTTCTGGAAATCTGTCTTTTTAATTCCTTTGAGTTCTCTGGAGGACTGCACTACTGAAGCAGGTTTCTGATCAGTTGTACTCTTGCTGGTCAATTTTGCCATTTCAGCCCTCTTAGATAATACGGTCCTAGTAGTTGCCGATGTAGTAGCTCCTTTATATGCATCTGTAGTTGATTTTGGTGCTGGTTTTGACTGGGAAGCAGTAGCATCCTTAGGTAGTGCCTTAAGAGGCACAGGTGTTTTGGGAGAACTTTTCAATGACTGTGTCTGCTGCACAGGGCTGGCACGTTGAGTCAAGTCTCTAGTGTTTGGAGATGCTTTAGTTACATGACTAGAGCTTTTCCCAGCATGATTAGAAACAGGGCCAGCACCCTTGGGTGAAGTGAAAAGTTTTCTTTGAGGAGAATTATTTTGCGCACCTTTTGTACTGGTACTTACAGTAGTGACATGTGGAGGAGAGTTCGATTTTTTTGCCACCTTCCTTTGTGGCTCAGGAAGTAAAGGGGAACCTTTTCTTGGAACAGTTTGAATTTTGGGGCGTACTGAAGAACATGGCGTATTTTTTGTTCCCTTGTGAGGAGTCAGCATGGGGGACTTCTCACTTCGGAGATTAGTGTTAGAAGAGGATGAAAGTGTAGATGGTGTAGAGGCACAGACTTCTGAGAGACACCGATTGCAGATATGGGATTCATAACAGGAGGTTGGGGTATCCTGCCTGACTGCAATGATACATTCTCGCTTGCCCCTCCTTTTTGGAATTGAAGAATTTTTTGCTCCAAAGTAGTAAACTGCAGAACCCTGCAAGGGTCATACTTAAGCAAAAACCCTTGCAGTGTGTCCCAGCCTCCTCCAACCCGGACCATGACATGCTTCCCATGTAGCATCTGGAAAATAAAACAAGGAATCACTACTCACAACATTTTCAACACACTCGTTTCACATTACATGTAGAACTACTTTTTATTATTAAGATTATACAGTGTTTATATAGAGCCAAAACGTTTGCTCAGCGCTGTACAATATAGTGGGGGACAGTAGCAAAACAATATGCGAGAGGTTTGAGGGCCCTGCTCTTTTGAGCTTACAACTACTTGACCTAACAGTTTTTTTTATGACAAAGAAAACGCATTTCAGGCTATTTTAGCACTCCAAAAATTAACATTCAAAGTGGAACTTTAGTCATAAAATTAAGTCCTGATAGATCACTTTATGCTGGCCCCTTTTGCAGGTATAGCTATGTAAAACCTAAAAAATTAGTATCCATACGGTTTAAAATCCAGTAATACACTGTCTCACCCTGCTCTGCACATGCTCAGTTGCTATTTGTTAGCACTGCCAAAGATGTAGAAGCTGATCTGCTAACCACCTAAAGATTTACTGTTGCTCAGGGCTTCAGCAAAATGGCAGCCTCCAACAAGTAGAAAAAGGAACAATGCCGGAGGCAATTTACAGCAAACAATCATTTTGGTAGCATAATTATTAATGTGGAATGTATATTCCTTGTTAAAGAACATTATTTTATCAAGTTGTTATGGGTAAAAGTTCAGTTTTAGGTCACTGGTTTATAATTTCAACTGACACACATTAAATTAGCATCTTAATGACTTTTGTACAAATCGTCCTAGGAATAATCACCTATATTATCACTCACTAACAAATTTTAACTTAGGACTCTTGCAGAAAGACAGATTATGCTCTCTGACCTCCAAACAGGAAAGCACTCCAGAAGTGCCTTCCCAGTTTTCTAAATGTAGCAGTACAGCAGATGTAATTTACAGAGTAACTGTTTTAGAGTTATCGAATACTTCAGCCAGACACAGATAACCATTAAATCAACAATAGTCTGATGTCCAGTTTCAGGAATATTTTCAAATTTGGTATTAGCATAGTGCCAACAGATTTATGGCTCTTTGTTTGAAGTATAATAGAATACAGAGGGTACTCTTCTGATTAGGCTCACCACTAGGGACATGCCTAAATCAGCGGACTGGATGATGCTGAAATTCCCGCTTCTGTAACCAATCTGTCACAATCATCCTATGCTGTAACAAACACCTAGCATTATTTCTAAAAGGTATGTAAATGCATTTTATTATTTGTATGTGTTTATGTTATTTACTAGCAGCATAAATGAAGGCTTTAAATCTGAACAGATGGCACACTGTTATACAGTGTAGTCTGCATTTAAGTTATTGCATTCTAAGCATTAGTATGGATCAACACGGCCCACCTTTTATTTTTTTCACAAGCTGAAAACTGTTCTGAGCTGCTATATTTATTGGCATACTCAGTGCAATAAAGATCTTACACCGAATGCCAGTGAGTGCTTGATGCTAATTAGAAATTCATGCCGCGTTCTCCCATTAGACATCATATGTAGGATTGCTCGGCTTTAAATACAATGTACATGTATAATAGAGAAACTACAAGCACAACTTCCTGTAAGTAATGCATCCATTTATTCACTTCCTTCATCCACATATATTTTAGAACACAGATGCTTCCTCCAGGAAACCCAATACTGCATTCTATCAAGTCATGAAAAGCATAGAAAAACAATGAAGTCCATAATCATCACCTTTTAACCATAGTGATCATTGTAAATACATGGAGAACTGCATTCAGGAGTTTTATTTGGAAACATTTAAAAAGTTAAGATGAGAAAACATTGACAACTACAGATGATGATCTCCACCAACATCAAAGGTCCATTGAAAGCATTCTGCTACCAACCCTCTATTTTTGTGCTGAATGCACCGTTTTGTAGATTTCCTCTTTCAAGGTAGGAGGAAAATCTTCTGACCATCGCGATGCTAACCAATCAGTACCCCTCTAGCCCGTACTGTCATCCCTGAAAGGAGATGAGAGAAAGCCGCTAGGAATGTAAAATCCCCAGACCTGTGAAGTGGATTTTCCTTGTGTGACAGCATGGGATCGGTGCAGGGAGGTTTCCTGCACCACTCCTGTGTGAACTCAGGCTAAGACAAGCCAGGGTTCACACAGGAGCAGTGGGCAAACTGCATGCGATTTGGACAGGAATCACATGCTACTCTTTCCGATGCAATTTGTGTCCACACATTTTGTATGTATTAGTACTCGTACTCTCCAATAAAACAAAAGGTTATCTGTGCATCCCTAATTTCAATAATCTGCTAAAGCTAGAGAGCCAGGACAATCAGTCTCTAGCTCTAAAATTTGTGCCCACCCCCAAGTGCCAGGCTGTGGAGGGGGCAGGAGTAGCTGGCTCAGGCTCTCAGCAGATCATGGCTGAGCCAGGTGCTGGTCCAGCCTCCTGGGTGGATCCCGACCATATGGTTGGGATCTTTCTGCAGCCTGGACAGGCTGAGCGACATCAGCCAACATCGGACTTTAGCCCACTGTCAGCTGAAAACGGGTCACAGGAGTGCAGAACAAACTGCACTCCTGTAATCCACAGGAGAAGTACAGCCAATAGAGCACTGGCTGTATTTCTCCTTTAATTTAGTAATGCGAAGGGCATTTATTAATACAAAAAAACAAACAGCCAAAAGTGCTTTACTCTGAAATCCATAAAAACCCTTCCTAGGGGATTGTGCAGATTTTGAAGTGCTGCACTATTTGTTTTATATTTGTATTTTATATTGTGTGAACCACATTGTGTGTGTTCACATGTTCTCAATGAGGGGGAAGGACTTCACACAGCTGCGTGTGGATACTTGCATTTAATACAAAAAAAACACACTTCATGACTGCACGAAAATGGTTTTCTAAATTGATGTAAACTTACGGCTTCCAAGTGATAAACCACAGCAACAATTGCAAGACTTTACAATGTTCTAATGGGCATTTCATAATTAATGCAAAGCAGTGGAGCTATATTTAAATATCTAATGGACAAGGTCTTAAAAAAAAAAAAAAAAAACCCTGTAAGAATGTTTTCTGAGGTGCACATTATATATTTACCCGAATGAAGAGGATCTTATCCCCTAACCGATAGCGGCCCTCTGATAAGTACTCAATAGAGAAGCGGTGAGAGCAATTGCAGGGTGGGTCCTGAGCAATGTGAGTCACCTAAACAGAGAAAACAAAGAAAATACAGTCACCACTAGCTAAAGCAAGAAACCAGTATCCCTTTGCTGAAACACTACAACTATTCCAAGGACACACCATTTGACCTAATTATGGAAGGCCATTATTGAGGCACAGGAATAGGATTCTAAAAAAAAAAAAAAAAAAAAAAAAAAAAAAAAATCAGACTTACTCCAATTGGCCTCATTAAATTGGACTATAACAAAAGGGTCAGAAACTGGACATTAAATTAGTAATTTGGGGGGGGGGGGGGGGATTAACACAAAGGTAGTGCAACTACAAAAAAAAAAAAAAGTCTGGATGGAGGATATTGCCATTTATAGATCTGAATGAATCCCAGGAACCAGGGATGCTAAAGAAAGGAAGCCAAAAAGCAGACATTCCCAAAAAATGATTCTAACAGTATATTCAACATTGGTCACTCTGCTTCATAATCTTGGTGAATGTGTAAAGATATTACACATTGTGTTCCACTGCATGTTAATGATTGGAATTCAGCATTTAGACAATGTCAGCCTGCTAAGACATCCCTGACTCTGATCAGTTGTCCGTCCTCACCCAGCCTAGGCACAGGTTTTCTTGCTTTGAAGTCTTTTCAGAGGCAACTAGGATGTAAGAGGTCAGTGCAGTCAAAGTCAAATGTTTAGGGAATCGGTTTATCCTACAGGGCTTAATAAAGCAAACTGCTAAAAATACAGATGAAATACATATCTAGTTGCGCTTTTAGCCACCCAGGGATTTATATTTCTGTCAGTCCATGCCCGAGATTCACACAGGTTTACCTGACAGCACCACCCTGTATAGCAGAGAAGATACCTGAATTTTCTTTGCTGCAGTTCAGTAACACTTACAGGTCTTCTCTGTTCCTCAGCCTCAGATTGGACAGTGAAAGGGGAAGCAGTAGACGGATGAGCTAATTTCTCCATCTCTCTTCCTATCAGCATGTTCTTTGTTAGCACATGAGCACTGCAGCACAACTGATTGGCTCCATTCAGGTACCTACACGGCTTGTATTTAAATAATATATTTAATGATGCATGAATGAATACAAAGCTGCATTAATTTGTGTCTTTTACATCTGCCTGGAGTTCAACTTAAGCACCTCTTGACTGTGCCATATAGATGTCCTTCCAGATTCCCGCACCCCTAAGTGCGCATTGGGCATGCTCTGTGATTGCTGTGTCCTTTGGACACAGCTGATCACAGATTGAGGTAAAGGGCCAATCACAACAGCCCTTTACCATGTGATCAGATGTGTCCAATCACAGCTGATCCCATGTAAACAAATGCCGATTATCGGCATTTCATTTCCTTGCACGTGGTTACTGTGACAGGGCGCATTTACACTGATCACAGTGCCCCGATTATTAGTGCAGCCTCTTCAGTGCAGCATATCAGTGTCACCTCATCAGTGCCCATCAGTGCAGCAAATCAGTGTCCATCAGTGCAGCAAATCAGTGTCCATCAGTGCAGCATATCAGTGTCCATCAGTGCAGCATATCAGTGTCATCTCATCAGTGTCCATCAGTGCAGCATATCAGTGTCCATCAGTGCAGCATATCAGTGTCCATCAGTGCAGCATATCAGTGTCCATCAGTGCAGCATATCAGTGTCCATCAGTGCAGCATATCAGTGTCCATCAGTGCAGCATATCAGTGTCCATCAGTGCAGCATATCAGTGTCCATCAGTGCAGCATATCAGTGTCCATCAGTGCAGCATATCAGTGTCCATCAGTGCAGCATATCAGTGTCCATCAGTGCAGCATATCAGTGTCACCTCATCAGTGCCACCTCATCAGTGCCCATCAGTGCCACCTCATCAGTGCATATTAGTGAAGAAGAAAAATTACTTTTTTGCTAAATTTTATAACAGAAACAAAGAAAAACATTTTTTTTCAAAATTGTCAGTCTTTTTTTTGTTTGCTTTAGTGGTGATTAAATACCACCAAAAGAAAGCTCTATAGGTCTAAAAAAAGAAAATAAAATTCATATGGGTACAGTTTGTATGACAGCGCAACTGTCAAAGTGCAACAGTGCTGAAAGCTAAAAAAATTGACCTGGGCAGGAAGGGGGTGAAAGAGCCCAGTATTGAAGTGGGTAAAGTTTACATAAATCCTCACCCTGTAAAACAACCCATTCAGTTTAAAATAGAAATGAAAGGCAAAACATTTGTGTATAAAATATATTAAAAAAAAGAAAAAGAAAAAAAGTTTCTCCCTTTTTTTTTAATTTTTTATAAGTGATCAAATACCTTTTGTTCTCAACTGCACATGAGCTGGGGGAGGAGAAATGGCAGTACACTAAGCTTCTCAGTGAATGGCTATGCAGAGGGAGCGTGTGATCAGAAGTCTGATCACTGGAGGAGAGCAAACAGAGTTCCCAGTACAGCTAGAAAACTGACCAGGCTGTGCTCTCATGCCTAGTGTAGTCAGTTTTTAATAGGATAGCCGAGGGACTGGCAGGAACACCAGAAATTTCACACAAAGGAAGCAATACAAAGAGAACAGGATAGCTTTTTTTAATACATTTACACGGTACAGCAGGTACATACCTGGAATGTGAAATGTTGGGTTTGCATATCCTTTAAATGCTCTAATGGCTTTTCGACTTCACCCTGTAGCTCTTTCACACCAGTATTCTCTCCAACCCAGCACTATAGCATTTAACAACCAGTGTTTGACCAGGCTGCTTTCTCCAAGAATACAATAGCACATATCCAACATAATGGGTGATAAAATGCTCTTACCGCTTCATGTAACTCATGGTGACAGCAAGATTTTTGGATTGTTGTTGGGGCCAGTGGTCCAGATTCCATGAGCAATGTTTCTTCTAGTTCAATTTCCTTCTCTAGCTTTACCAGGACTGGTGGTTCAACTCCATATCTGTAATTAAAAAGAAAGCATTTTTTTTCCAGTAAAAGGGAGAAAAATTTATGAAGCTGGTAGAACCAGTTGGTCTGTATGAATCAGACCCACAATCTTAGTAAATGTCCAGTCTAATCTTATTTGTGGCTGTCAATACATGAATGTATCATTTGCCAGTGTTTAGAACTCACACACCTGGATACAATTCTTCCAATATCTAGGAGACACAGGCATACTTGCCGGGGGTCTTTATGCAGCACTAAAAAAGAAAAAGAAGAAGAGAAAAGGCTTCTGGTAAGTATACATGTACAGTGTGTGTGTGTGTGTGTGTATATATATATATATATATATATATATATATATACACAGTTGCAAGAAAAAGTATGTGAACCCCTTGGGATTACGTGGAGTTTTGCATGAATTGGGCATAAAATGTGCTCTGAACGTCATCTAAGTCACAACAATAGAAGAACACAGTCTGCTGAACATAATACTACACAAACATTAGATGTTGCCATGGTTTAATTGCACATAACATGTAAACATTCACAGTGCAGGGAGGAAAAAGTATGTGAGGCCCTAGCTTAATGACTTCTCCCAGAGCTAATCGGAGCCAGGAGTGAGCCAACCTTGACTCCAATCAGTGTGATGATATTGGATGTGTTGCTGACAGCTGTCCTGCCCTTAAAAAACACACACCTGTTTTGGGTTTACTGGTTTCAAGAAGCACTGTCTGATGTGAACCATGCCTCGCAGAAAAGAGCTCTCAGAAGACCTACGATCAAGAATTGTTGACTTGCATGAAGCTGGAAAGGGTTACAAAAGTATCTCCAAAAGCCTTGATGTTCATGTGTCCACAGTAAGACAGACTGTCTACAAATGGAGAAAGTTTAGCACTGTTGCTACTCTCCCTAGGCTTGGTCGTCCTGTAAAAATGACTGCAAGAGCACAGCGCAGAATGCTGCATGAGGTAAAGAACAATCCCAGAGTGTCAGCTAAAGACCTACAGAAATCTCTGGCACATGCTAACATTTTTGTTGACACATCTACAATAAGGAAAACATTAAACAAGAATGGAGTACATGGGAGGACACCACGGAGAAAGCCATTGCTGTCCAAAAAGAATATTTCAGCACGTTTGAAGTTTGCAAAAGATCACCTGGATGTTCCACAGCACTACTGGCAAAATATACTGTGGACAGATGAAACCAAGATTGAGTTGTTTGGGAAGAACACACAACACTATGTGTGGAGAAAAAAAGGCACAGCACAACAACATCAAAACCTCATCCCCACTGTAAAACATGGCGGACGGAGCATCATGGTTTGGGGCTGCTTTGCTACCTCAGGGCCTTGACGGATTGTTGTCATTGATGGGAAAATGAATTCTAGAGTTTATCAAGACATTTTGCAGGAAAACGTACGACCATCTGTCCGCCAACTGAAGCTCCGCAGAGGATGGGTGATGCAACAATACAATGACCCAAAGCATACAAGTAATTAAACAAAACAATGGCGGCAACAGCACAGAATACGCCTTCTGGAGTGGCCCAGTCAGAGTCCTGACCTCAACCCGATTGAAATGCTGTGGCATGACCTTAAGAGAGCGATTCACACCAGACATCCCAAGAATATTGCTACACTGAAACAGTTTTGTGAAGAGGAGTGGTCCAAAATTACTCCAGATCGTTGTGCAGGTCTGATCTGCAACTACAGGAAACGTTTGGTTGAGGTTATTGCTGCCAAAGGAGGGTCAACCAGTTATTAAGTCCAAAGGTTCACATACTTTTTCCTCCCTGCACTGTGAATATTTACATGTTATGTGCAATTAAACCATGGCAACATCTAATGTTTGTGTAGTATTATGTTCAGCAGACTGTGTTCTTCTATTGTTGTGACTTAGATGACGTTCAGAGCACATTTTATGCCCAATTCATGCAAAACTCCATGTAATCCCAAGGGGTTCACATACTTTTTCTTGCAACTGTATATATATATATATATATATATATATATATATATATATATATATATATAAATAAATGTACAATATATTGATACTATCAGTAACTTGTCTACATGAAAATAATACTGGCAAAATAGAATATTTCTGGCAGTCCGAAAATTTAGAAGCAGCAACCGGGGACTGGTCTAGGTGAAACATAAGGTTTATACAAATCCAAAAATATTGTTATGCAAGTATAAGGATTTGCATGGTTGCCTCATTTCTAGGTTAGCATTTTGTCCAGAAAGAAGATGTCTGAACATATTTTTCATGGAATATAGACACATGAAGGCACTGTCAAAAGGAGTATTAAAATGTAAAACGTAAATTTACACTAAAATAACATTTCTGAGACAAGGTCGGCTTTATAGACATTTTTGTTTTGGATATAGAAAAGATTTGGTAAAACCAGTCAACTTCTTTTTGTGCATGTATGTGTTTCATTGGAGAGATTTTACTTCACTTCCTGTGTCAGAGACACAACAAAAAAAAAAAAAGCTCTAAATTAAAACCCTCTTAGAACATTGTCTTGGGAACAAATGTCCATACTGGAAGATTTCCCCTCTGTTCCTGTACTTTTGACAACTTAAACTTTTGGATTTTCTGTCACTTACAATTCAATCCCCATGACAATAGTCACCAGAACAAATAAAGAGGGCAAATCTCCCCAGTGAGAAAATCAGGCAGAAATACCCTCCCCCCTTTCCCCAAATACACGCCAAGTGTTTGTTTTTTTTATTCACTCTTCATTACCAGACTCCTACCCCTAGACCCAGCCAGCAGCTAAAGACATTCCAACCCACTCTTGCAAGCTTCATGAATAGAAGGTTTACTGCAATGAAAGGCATATTACCCTATTTCTACATAACCGATAAATATGCAAATCACTTCATAATCTGTGACATACAAAAACCCAGCCGTCATGGATGTATGTATTCACATCTAATTATATACAATATGGGAACTGTAATCTCACTGCAGTTTACTGCAACAAAGGCATTTCATCTATTGTAAAACATACACGATCAGTAATAAAATAATAAAAAAAAAAAGAAAGAAAGAAAAAAAAAAAAAAAAGAAGATGTAACTACGAATACAATCACTGAATTGAGTAATGAATCTATTTTTAGTTTTCTGATGCTATTCGTAAACATGTGCGTATTCACTAAGGAAACAATTGCTTTAAAAGAAAATTAACTTTTGAAAAGGTTTATTGAGGCATGGAAATTTAATTGCGATAGAAGATACATTTACGCACACATAACGAGCTGTCAAATGTTGTCTGACAAATTTTACACGGCAGCTGTTGGTCAGAAACTCTGCCAGACCCTTTAAGGCACAATCCAGGGCGATTCCATGGATAGGCGTTAAGGATTCTTATAACAACTTCTTACAGAACATTCTCTAGTATCACGTACAATCACGGGGTTACTATTTTAAAGGGGGTGCTTGGCTATAAAACAGGCTTCTCAATAGAATCCATTGTTGAAAGTTATTTATGGTTCATCATAACAAGAATGTAAGACAAGGCAATCAATGTGCAAAACCAGGTCAGTAAGTAAATGTTTGTACATTTAAGTGTTATAAAAAAAAAAAAAAATCATCTGACATTCATATGCCTGATACTGGTAAAATTTAAACACATAGTCTGTGATGATGATATTGAGTTTTGTCAAGGTTTAACCCACTATGCCCAACGAATGAGGGCTACTCTTAAAAAAAAAAAAAAAAAAAAAAGTTATTTTCATGCAGTTACACAGGGAACCAGAAAAAGAGAACCATGAGAATTTCACTGCAGTACCACGTACTGGGCACAACATGCCCAATCCAATTATATATCATGGAAGGTATGTGATAATGCTGGACTAATAAAAACAGGTATTGGTTCTGATGGATATAGAATACAGTGCACTATGACATAAGGAGGTAAACTGTGATGAAAGTATGGTGTGTATGGACCTGGTTCTGGTTCTAGGCACTTACCTCTCTGAACAAATCGTTGAACAAAAATTCAACTCTTGAATGAGTAATAAGGAGCACCTAGTACAAATGTTCATCTCACTTAAAAGTTTTAAAAATCTTTATTGGTTAAAAAAAAAAAAAAAATTATCAGATAGAGTTAATGTATTTCAGGGGAAAGACTCCCTTTTCTTCTTCAGGGCTTACTTAGTGGCAGCATTACCCAAAAAGCATTGACTATATCTGTTGCTAAACTGGAGTCATTTGACTTCTTTTTCTTTTTTTGGGAAATTCTCTTTATTAGCAAGTCTTTCAGTGTTCTGTAGCCTTGTTTGCTTGTGTATGAAAAAACAAAAAACAAAACCTCATTATAGACATCATGTACAACTCACCTAAGCCTTCAGATTCAAAAAGATAAGCTTCATCCACTCTAATGCCTCTGCACCAGCGGAGAAAGTTAGCAGTGTTGTCCCGAGCAAAAAACGAGCCAGACGGAGCATCTTTTCTGCATGGGACTCTTCTCATTGGCACACCCTGGCAAGGAAAATGGTAATAAGGCATATTATTTCATTTTAAGGTTGAATAACACTAATACAAAGCACTACTCTATCATTTTGGAAGCAGAATCACCACTCTGATCCAGTGCCGATCCCCTTCTAAGTTAAATGACAACAAGCATCATTCAACCTGCTCCCTGTGAATCCAGAATGTCATGGACACACCCACAAAGGGTGTGTCATCAAGCTAGCTCACAGGGGAATGTTGCAGAGAATGGCTCACACATCACTACCTGTGTTAGCGCCTTCTCTGCAGCATTCCGGGAACACCCACCGCCAAACAAATATTGTACGGAATGCCCAACATCAGGTTGGTCTTTAAAAAAGGAAAAAAAAAAAACACTAAACGTAAGTTTTCTTTCCGGAGACCACAGGAATGAAGACTCATGCTGTCAATTGACTACGATGTGCACCATCCCACTGTAAAATGTTGCTTCATTGGGCTACTGTACTTAAAGCAACAAAATACATTTTCTGATGGATTGTCACACTTTGACACATTACATATTTGTCTGGTGGTGGCTGAATGCAGGTAGTGGAGAGATTAGGATAGCTGATGACTTTTACGAGGAACAGCTGTTGTGAAGCTAGCAACAAAAAGTTTTACACCAGCTAATGGCTTGGCAAGTTAAAGCATAACTAGAGCTCACTGGAAGATGTATTTGTAATATCAATCTATTTATTGTCATTGCAAAGCTTCAGTTAGGTCCATATATATATATATATATATACACACACATATATATATATATATATATATATATATATATATATACATATACACACACACACACACACACACACATATATACACACACACACACACACATACACATATATATATATATATATATACACACACACACACAATTTTAGTTTTTTCCGGTATTTACAAAAAACATATTCAAGCTATAGTTCTATAATGGATATGGACTAAAAGTACACACTCTCAGGTTTAATTTAAGGGTATGCACATCCAAATTGGAGGAAGGGTTTAGGAATTACAGTAGCCATCTTCCCTTTTTCAAGGGACCAAACGTAATTGGACAATTGAATCAAAATCTGTTTCATGGCCAGATGTGGGCTACTCCATTATTTCTTCATCAGTTAAGCAGGTAAAAGGACTGGAGTTGATTCGAAGTGTGGTATTTGCACTTGGAACCTATTGCTGTGAACCTACATCATGCGTTCAAAGGAGCTGTCCATCCAAGTGAAACAACAGGCCATTGTAAGGCTTCGAAAATGAAACAAATCCATCAGAGAGATAGCAGCAACATTAGGAGTGGCCATATCAACAGTTTGGTACATTCTGAGGAAAGAAGAACGCACTGGTGAGCTCAGAATATATAAAGGCATGGACATCCACAGAAGACAACAGTGGTGGATGATTGCAGGATCCTCTCTATGGTAAAGAAAAACCCATTCACAACATCCAGACAAGGGAAGGACACTCTCCAGGAGGTGGGTGTATCATTGTCAAAGTCTACAATCAAGAGAAGACTTCACAAGAGCAAATACAGAGGGTTCCCCACAAGCTGCAAACCATTCATAAGCCTGAAGAATAGAAAAGCCAGATTAGACTTTGCCAAAAAATATCTAAAAAAGCCAGACCAGTTCTGGAAAAGCATTCTTTGGATGGATGAAACTAAGATGAATCTTTACCAGAATGACAGGAAAAAAAAAAAAAAAAAAAGTGTGGAGAAGGCTCAGAACAGCTCATGATCCAAAGCACACAACGTCATCTGTAAAACATGGGGGAGGGAGTGTGATGGCATGGACATGCATGGCTTCCAGTGGCACTGGGTCATTGGTGTTTATTGATGATGTGACAGAAGACAGAAGCAGTTAGAGTTATACGGTCAGCCCAGATTCAGCCAAATGCAGAAAAGTTGATTGGATGGCTCTTCACAGTACAGATGGACAACGATCCAAAACACACTGCAAAAAGCAACCCAAGAGGAAACCCAGTCTTTGGCAATGTCCATGGGTTTTAGACTTCAGGCAGTCATTGCCAGTAAAGGATTCTCAATAAAATATTAAAAACGAACATTTTATTTATGACCATATTCATTTGTCCAATTACATTTGAGCCCCTGAAAATGGAGGGACTGTGTATAAAAATTGGTTGCAGTTCCTAAAATTTGTACTTGATATTTATGTTTAACCCCCTGAATTAAAGCTGAAAGTCTGCACTTCAAATTCATTTGGATTGTTTCGTTTTAATTTATTCTGCTGGCATATAGAGCCAAAAGTATGAAAATTGTGCCTGTGTCCAAATATATATGGACCTAACTGTACATTGGTAGAACAGACCTAGTTGTCTCATTTCTGAATATTATTTTGGTAATATAGGTCACTTTTACCTTTACCATAGTATGGGAAATAATTGAAGATTGAATAGATCACAAAAACTGGATGACACTCATATTAGGGTCAACAATCCCTGCATACCCAACAATCAAGAGCCAAAATATGCACGAAGAACACTTACCATCAATTCTTCCGAAGAGCAGCATCTCCTCATAGTGTTCTGTACAACATGGATGAGTTCGCAGAGATGAACACCATTGTCGAGATCATCCATGAACTTCTCACTTCTTACTTCCACCCCTGTAAGAAGATGCAATATCAGAAGGAAAGTCCACATAACACTGCTAATTAAAAGGTGCAATGTGACTGACCAGGACACGCTTTTTCTACGGCAATAGTAATTTTAGTTAGAAGTGTTTAGCAACCACTTTTACGACATGGTACCAGATATATGCGGCATCTAAGAGGTGGGCCCTAAACCTGGCTGCCACATATATGTGTTTTTCTGTTTGTGGACGCACCGCTCCCAGCAGAGACCAGGCTCTCAAACTAACGATCAAGAACTTTGAATCTCAGTTCCCAATCATATCTATCTATATAACAATTAAGGTAAGGGTGAAAAGGTCAAGGTCAGTATATTTTAGGGAGGGTTTTAATACAAAGGGATTTTTTTTTAAATAGTGTCAGTGTGTTTTAGGTAGGATAAAAAAAAAAAAAAAAAGCAAAATGCGCACCATTGTTTCTGGGCCATACAGCAAACAATATACACATACATTATACTGCCGAAAAATAGGGACACCCCTCCAAATCATTGGATTCAGGTGTTCCAATCACCTCCATGGCCACAGGTGTATTAAATCAAGCACCTAGGCATGCAGACTTCTACAAACATTTGTGAAAGAATGGGTCGCTCTCAGGAGCTCACTGAATTCAAGTGTGGTACTGTGATAGGTTTCCATCTATGCAATAAGTCCATCTGTGAAATTTCTTTGCTACTAAAATATTCCACGGTCAACTGTTAGTGGCATTAAAACAAAGTGGAAGCAACTGGGAACAACAGCAACTCAGTCACAAAGTGGTAGGCCACGTACAATGACAGAGCGGGATCAGCACATGCTGAAGCGCACAGTGCACAGAAGTCACCAACTCTCTGCAGAGTCAATGGATAAAGACCTCCAAACTTTGTGTGGCCTTCAGATTAGCAAAACAAAAGTGTGTAGAGAGCTTCATGGAATGGGTTTCCATGGCTGAGCAGCTGCATCTAAGCCTTACATCACCAAGTGCAAGGCAAAGCGTCGGATGCAGTGGCATAAAGCATGCTGCCACTGGACTCTAGAGCAGTGGAGACGTGTTCTTTGGAGCGACCAATCACACTTCTCTGTCTGGCAATTCAATGGAGATGTCTGGGTTTGGCGGTTACCAGAAGAACGGTACTTTACTTACCTAACTGCATTGTGCCAATTGTAAAGTTTGGTGGAGCGGAAATTATGGGGTGGGGTTGTTTTTCAGGGGTTGGGCTTGGCCCCTTAGTTTCAGTGTAGTGAACTCTCAAGGTGTCCGCATGCCAAGACATTTTGGACAATTTGATGCTCCCAACTTTGTGGGAACAGTTTGGGGATGCCCCCTTCCTGCTCCAACATGACTGCACACCAGTGCACAAAGCAAGGTCCATAAAGACATGGATGAGTGAGTTTGGGGTGGAGGAACTTGACTGGCCTGCACAGTCCTGTACTCAACCCGACAGAACATCTTTGGGGTGAATTCGAGTGGAGACTGCGAGCCAGGCCTTCTCATTCGACATCAGTGCCTGACCTCACAAATGCGCTTCTGGAAGAAAGGTCAAACGTTCCCATAGATACACTCCTAAACCGTGTGGACAGCCTTTCCAGAAGAGTTGAAGCTGTTATAGCTGCAAAGGGTGGGCCAACTCAATGTTGAACCCTACGGACTAAGACTGGGATGCCATTAAAGTTCATGTGTGTCTAAAGACAGGCGTCCCAATACTTTTGGCAATATAGTGTATGGGGTATTGCTGCGATTATCAGGAGCAGGAAAATGTATTTTGGGTTGTACTCTTTTGGTAAGTTATGGCAATAGCAAGAAATATACAGTTTTTTCTTTGATAATAAAATATATATATATTTATATTATATATAAAAATCAGGAAGTATCTGTTAGCATTTACCACCAAATGAAAGCCCAATTTGACCTGTAAAAAGAAAGATAGTGGTAGTTCATTGAGCCTTCCTATCAGTGGTAATTGCTTGCTCGTACTGGATGTATGGACAAGTAAATATACTGGCAGGTCAGGGGGAGACCTGCATGGCACCAGCAATCACTCCACAAACAAAAAATAATAAATGCTCATATTTTTTTTTTACCAGCATAAAAATGTGTTTATTATTTTCTGCAAATGGTGAACTTATCCTTTAACTTTTGCATTATCATATTACACTGGTTTATTCACAAGGTCAAAATTCATCCATATTTTGATGTTTTGCAAAGTGCAAACAAAGCCTAAACATATTGTTAATTTTTCTGGAATAGTGCAGGGAAGGTTTGGAAATG